TGCCCTTGCCGTCCAGAATAAAAGAGAACATCCCAATCGAGTGAAGGGATTTGTGCAAACTGTGGTTCCTAATTGTTGTGATCCAACATTTGCCTAGTTTTTCAGGATGAAAAGACAAACATTTCAGGTGAAGGATAATCCACTTCTTACCTCCGAGACTGTGTTATGATCTATATTATCTTTATTGTGAGTATTAGGCTTATCATTATTGCTGATCACTGTTGTTGTGCTTATGTTATTGTAATATTTACCATTATATAAGATCAGAGGAATATAGAAAAGTTTTTGAAAGTGTCACTCCACAATACAATAGCAAAATATATAAATATGTATAGTATTTTTTATGTTACATTAATCATTGTCTAGCACACCTTCCTAAGGAAAGGATATGGACTCCAGGAAACATGTCGTTCAAACCGGAAACCGTAGCAAAACGTTGCGCACCGGTTTGAGCTTGAACTTGCCCCTGGTCTTGGAGTCATTACTAATGAGCTGAATCAGGTGTGTTTAATTAGTAAGAGTTCAAAAATGTGTTCATGTGATTCCTGAGTGCCTTTTATTCTGTAACTTTCCTTCTATTATTATTTTAGTTCATTCAGTCAGCACGTTAAAGCATGTAACAATAATAAGAAACAAAATCTTTCTCTGGTTCTGAACGCACTGCGCATGTTCTAAAGTTTTGTTCAGAATACATGTAATCAGTGTTGGGGAGTAACTAGTTACATGTAACGGCGTTACGTAATTTAATTACAAAATAAATGTAACTGTAATCAGTTACAGTTACTAAGAAAAAATATGTAATTAAATTACAGTTACTTTTGAAAATGTTAACAGATACAACGGGGATTACATTTGAATATTTACACACATCCACATACAGATTTAATTGATTTATTTCCCAAATTGCACTGACTACTCTGAGACACACGGCCCTATAATTTCCGCGATGCGAAAACACAGACTGGTTCGTAGAATCCAGTCATAAAAACGGAAGTCCTATAGCCTAACGCGGACGGAATATGCCACATTTTGGACGAATAAATCAAAAGTAGGTCAGTACACTTGAATCAAAACGCGATATGGACTAGTGTCTGTGAATATTAAGCCGCAAAAAGACAATAAATGAATCCTGCACGTTCTGCGTGTCTCTGTGGAAATCAGGCGCGGACTCGCCTTCAGCAGCCGATTTGGCCCGCTGCTTTAATTATATATATATATATATATATATATATATAAGTTTTTGTTTGCATAATATATGTCTGTGTTCTGTGTATACTTATTATGTATATATAAATATAACTATTTCTTATCTTAACTATTTCTTATGATTTTAAATCTGCATTGAACTTCAGATCAATCTCAAAGTAAAAGGCGGTACTAAAGTCTGATTTTGTGGTGGATGTGTTCAATTTCAATGGGATGATCGTTTGTATGGGCACACTTGGGGTCTGAGATCGGTCACCTCTGGGAAAGCCGCAGGTAACTCAGCTGCCTCTTGGGGGAGCTGCAACGCACTAATTTGCCTACACACTTTTGGGTATTTAACAGAAGAGTCGGCAAGCGCTGGGACGTACTATCGCATCCTGTTACTGTAAACTGGCCTGTCAGTCATCTTGTCACAGTTAAAATCCTCCACATTTCATTTACTTTAACTTACTACCGTACCGCAGAGAAAATAAGTAGCACGTTGATCTGCAAGTCGTGGGTCTTTCATGCGGAGAACTCTGTCCTTTTTTCTTTTCTTTTTTTTGCATAATGATAACGAATGTTTATAAAGGTTCACATTGCTGTTGCAGATTAAACATAACACCGATATATATATATATATATATATATCTATATATATATTTATATTTGCGATGATAAATAACGTCAGAAAAACCATTCGGTCCGGAGGTAGTGTTGATAAGTATGGTCTCTTTAGGGATTAGAAACATGTAATTTTTTAATAGAAAAAACTGATGAGCTGTATCCAGTGCACGATAATATTAACTAATGAAATTATATTGATATATTATAGAGTTATATTCCAGTTTGCTAAAAAATCAGTCATTCGATTCGTCTTTTTCAACGAGTGATTGCTATTGAATCATATCGGACGCACAGCGCACAGCTCGTGGCGCCATAAATATCTATAGCCTGGTGGCTCTGTCTGATTTAAAGGAATAGTTCACTTTCAGAATGAAAATTCTGTCACCATTTACTCACCCCTCACTTGTTTCTTTCTTCTGTTGAACACAAAGAAGATATTTTGAAAAATGTTGGGATCCGAACAGTTGATGAGCACCATTGACGTCCATAGTAGGGAAAAAAATACCATGGAAGTCAATGGTGCTCATCAACTGTTCAGATCCCAACATTTTTCAAAATATCTTCTTTTGTGTTCAACAGAAGAAAGAAACTCATACAGGTTTGGAACAAGTGGGGGTGAGTAAATGGTGACAGAATTTTCATTCTGAAAGTGAAATACTCCTGTAAGTGCAGTGTGGCAAGACCCTTTGAGTGCAACTGTGTATGAAATGGCCTCCAAATGCCACTCCTACATACTGTAGGATGGTCGGGGATAGGCTACTGCTACCTGGTTACTGCTAGTGCTACCTATCTCTAATACAACCCTACACTTAACCCTAACCATACTCACTTTGCTGAATGGCTTGCTCTTTCACTGACAAATCAGTTGGAGGTTTCATTATGATTATCAATGTGAATCCCCATCTGAAGGAATTTCCTCAGAAATTCTTCCCACGGGCAGCTGTTTTCAGACATGCAAGTACAGCTCCTACTTAAGTGGGATCAAGAGACACGATTCCAAGAAATAATTCCAATGTGTTAAAAGTAATACTTTGTTACTTCACTTGTTTTTTTTTATGTAAATATAAAATTGGCTGAAAACACAAAACCTCTGAACATAACAGGGATAAAGTACGTTAAAACGATACAAATGAAGTAAATAATGTTTTCTTTTCTCATTACATATATAAAGCTGTAAATTGCTTAAGCCCCACCCCACTGAATAATACAGCACTACCTAAAAGCAGGAAGTACATTAGTGGATCATCCATCCACACCACATGCAGCCGAAACAGAAAAACAAAGCCTACAAAATTATATTTTGGGCAGATGTGGATTTTTTGATGTAGTGCTGAGGCTAGCAGCCGAAACCTGTAATCTACATATCGCGTGGACGCGTTTGGGCAAACAAGTACGTCTCTCTCTCTCCCTCTCTCTGTGTGTGTGTGTGTTTGTGTGTCTGTTCGTCAAATCACGACATCTTATACGGTGCCGTCGCCTTTGCTTGAAATATGCTCTATTTCTGGTCAGTTTGTTTCCTAGCTGAGCAGATGCTATAGTCGGTGGTTCTATTTCTGTCATGACTGAACTTATTTATTATGTAACCTGTCGCGGTTCGGTTGCATTTCGCGGCCACCTTTGCAACTTCTGTGCCAGATGTAGATGTGATGGACGCATTTAACGTACGTTAGCAGCTGCCTTTTCTGTCAGTCACTCATTAAAACAGATTGCACGGGTTTCAGTACAGTTCAGCATGACGTTCATGTTAACAATGAGTATTTGTTTTTTCCGTGTAGCCAGAGGCCCCGATTTGTAGCAAAAATATATTGGTGATGTCATCGTTTTATTTGCATATACTAAGTTACACTAAACTTAAGCGAGTGTCGAGCATATGCGAAAAGATAACCTTCCAGCGGTTGCAATGTGCTTTAAATTTTAATTATAATCTTTTTAGTAATTATTTCGTGCTAACAGTAGAACACATTACAGATTACTAACAGGAAGACATACTCTATGAATTTTCTTTTCATCGAGTGCCCTCGAAGTGTTAACCGTATTTGCACAATTCAAGATGTAAAAGCTTCACGCTTTAAGGCTTCATTATAATCGCATAAGGCTGTAGACCGTCTTTCAGGTGAAAACACGACCGTGAACTATCAATTTCCGCGTTTGCGGCTGTTGTTCAGATGAAAACTAATGTGGGCGACGTACAGAGACGTATTTTCGTCGAGAGGAAAGCGGTGTTGGGAAACCAAAGGCGGCGTCCCACTAGCTGATTCAAAACAGCTCGATTATGATCGGAGGGTGTTTCACCTGCCGACTGTTTTGGTGAAATCTCGCCCTCTTCTGACGGAGGTCCGATCAAATACAGATTGAAACAGCCTCATTTCTCGAATCCCCATCACGTGAAAGGTCTCCGAAATATCACACACATATGCATTACACAATCCTCAGTATTGAACTATACGGTCCCACAGGAAAAGTCACTCCAAAGAAGTGCTGCAGGCACCGGTAATGAACTCTCAAAGTGAAGACTGATGCCACTCAGCTTTAGCTGAAAATCAACTGCAAATTAAATCTCATATCTCAGTTGTTATTTAGAACTTTAGCTCTATTTAATAATTGTTTCATTTAAGATGTTTGAGTTTGGTGATTAGCAGATGTGCCATAATGAACATTAATGGCATATACAGTGAGTAATTCTATATAACTCACCTGAATTGTTTAAATTGTTAGCTTCTTTTCATTCAACCGGTTAAAAAACACGGGTGTATGCTGTGTAAAAGTATTGGGGCTTCCAAAAAATTCAAAGGGACTGTTTGTCAACGTTAAGACAGTAAGGCCTGTTTAAACCAACACAAATATTTGGCCCAATTTCGCATGCGATTATGTCTGTTAGACTATTGGTTCCTTTCTGGTGCCCCATCAGAGATAATCAACACCAAAGTGAGGGAAACTGTAAAAAGTAGTGCTCTTTCACACTTTCTTTCCCGCCTGAAAATAAATAAATAAATAAACACTTGTTCTGCGTGCGCACTATACTCGGTACTCCCTAAAAACATTATGGCTGAGAGTCGAATCCTTCCCATTATAAGTTCACCCTGAAAGTGGGACTTAGAGCAATCTTGCTCATTACATTTGGGCTTTAAGTCTAAGGAACTGTTTATATATGTAGGCCTACATGTACTTTGTGATGAGCTAAGAGCATCATCTTTCCGCAAACGTCTGTAGAACCCAAACTTTGTTGTATGCAGTGACAAAGATGCCGCTGTGGTTAAACCAATGTTAAAAAACAACTTTGCAATACCAATCACTCAAATAAATGAGAACAAATAAAAATGGACAGTTTTTACTTCTGTGTCTTCTGTGAGAATGTATCATCTTTGCAGACCACAACAGCTGTGATGAGTTTGTAACTAGACTCCAGGAAAATTAAGGAAAAAATTAAAGATTTTAAACAACTCGATGGTGGTTGGGGGAGTGTCTCACCTGCCAGCTGTTTTTGATGAATTCTTGCTTTCTGTGGATGGTCAGTTTCACACACACCTTTTAAAAATGGCAGAGGAATGACAGAACGACTGCCTCTGGAGCATAAATCCATGCATAGATTCAGTGAGACAAGAAATTCAACAAACACAGACTGTTCTTCCTCCACTTTTTATGCTTTAGTCATTCTAGTGGGTGAGCAGACTTTCTCATGGGCAGACTAATAATTTTGAATAATAATATATTTTCTTATTTTTTAAATTGTATTCAATAATAATAGTATGAGTAAAGTGTGTCATGACAAACTTTGATGTTGGCTTGAAACAGCCGCTCCTGAAGATGAAAATGATTTTAAAATCTTGAAGTCGAAAGTTTTAGGTTATAGATACATTTGATACATTCTCATTATAAAAACTCTTAAAACTGCATTCTGTGTCATTACAACAGTAGTATTTTGAAAATTATAGTAGGTTTTTTCCATTCCCAAAACTTTTCTATTTTTTTTCCATTCCATTCCCATTTGCTGGGAGAATGCTCTCTGTCTAGAACACGCAGAGACATGCGGAGTGACTCGTTACAAATGGTGAACAGTCCCAGTTCTGTTGCTGGTGATATATCAGCACTCTTGTAAGGTTTCTTAGACAGTCAGATTTTTAAATTTTATCTTCTTAAATCTTTTATTATTATTATTATTAGTATATTTTTGTTTTCTTTTTTTAATATATATCTTATTATATTTGTTTTGATCACTGAATGAGGAAAACATTTTGGGGTCCATTACGTACATTTAGAATATTCTTTTTGCCAAACATTTGCAGTAAATATTCATACTAGGTGCAGGGACGCGAGGGGCCAATTAAAGGGATAGTTCACCCAAAAATTCAAATTCTGTCATCATTTACTCACCCTCATGTCATTCCAAACCGTTACGACTATCTTTCTTACAAAATTTTCTAGGAGCTCTTGATCCTTGATTCATCTCATTTCATAGTTCTGGGATTATTATTGTTGTTGAATTTCTAAGGCTAAGGAGTCGTCAGAAGATATGAAACAAATCTATTACAGCAAAAGGATACAAAAGAGTTTGGATTTCCCAGAGGGCACTGTTGTTTCAACTATGAAGTGGAAACTATATCAGAATTGGAAGCTTTATCTGAGTGCACAGATGCTGTGTAGAGAGCTTTGAGGGATCAACATTTCTTGCCAAACAAGAATGTGACATAATACAGAGCTGCCCAGGATAACTTTGAAAGAGTTCCTGTCTTAAGTAGATAAGAACAGAGAAAAGTGAACCTGATGCCTGTATAGGAGGGTGGCATTAAAGACTATACCATAGTACATTATTCCAAAACAAATATTTAGTTTATCTCGACTGGCTAAACCTGAACCTCATTGCTAGCTATTAAAAGTTTTAACAAAGTGTGTTTAATTAATCAAGTAGTTGTCTTTTAATTAGTCTGAATTAACAAGTTACATTTTTTAGTGTTTGTTTTTTGTAGCACAAACTCTTCTCAAATACCAAATATCAGTTTGATTATATGAAGCAATTGTTTGCCTTTCTACTTATTAAAAACATTCCTTTCTCTATTTTGTCTCAGGAGCATGGGGCAGCATCTTGGAAAACGTGAGCTTTCTGTTCCCAAGGTATGTATATATGTCTGTCTGTCTGTTAGTCTATATGTATATATATATATGTATGTATTTATTTATTTATCAGCTAACATTTAATAATAGGTCAAATAAGTGATTTTTTTTACAGTTATAATTTTAGGTAGTAGCAGTTTTTGTTTTGTTTTTCTATTAAAATCTTTTGATAGTCATAGAGTTGCTCAGATTAAATCGGGTGCCTTGCATTATGTTACAGTAATTTAACCTTCATCCTGGGGAAAAGTAAGTACACCATTTGTGATTGTCGCTACTTCATGTTAGAATCAATAATTGCAGACAGGTTGACAAAATCAAGGCATTCACCATCCTGGATGCATAGTCTGTTCTCAACACGTGTCTCGGTGAGAAATCAATCCTAAATGCTGTTTCTGATATCCATGCTGATAAACATCCTATAAAGTCTAACAAGCAAAACAATGTTTCAAAAATGCAAGAAGCAGCTAATTAAAGGACAACCATTTACACCATTAATGCTGTTTGGGGAAATATCCATTAAGGCAAGAGATAAGCGTCTTCAGAAATGAAGAGATTAGGAGCTGCAAACCCTAAAATCAAGCCATGCCTTATCATTACATAGTCTCTAAGGTGCTACAGTATGTGTGGGCTACTGTCCCACAGTGAGTGTTGTGTTAGATCCCAGTGCAACAGAAGCTACATGCTGCCCTCTAGTTGATAATCATGGATTACAGAAATTACTTGAAATTACCAACTTCTTGGTAGTAGATGTCCTGTTACAGTGAGATAATCACTCCCTGTATATCAGCTGATAAGCCAGGATGGAGAATGATGTTTAGAGAAATATTGCATTTACATTTAAAGTCTTGCTGTGTTTCAGAACTGCTGCTTGCCCTCATCTGTTTATCACATGTTCCATCAATACCATGATGCAGCACTTGGTATTGGCATGTCTTGGGTGACCAATCCCAAGTGATCATATGCAAATGATGCATAAATGGCATCTGTTTTAAATACAGTTTAAAAAACATACCAAAAGCGTAATTTAAGTACTGTTTCACACTATTACCGTATTGGCCCGAATATAAGACGACCCTGATTATAAGACGACCCCCCTTTTTCCAGATGTACCTTTTGGAAAAAGTCTTTTTAAAAACCAAATCTTGTTTTTTCTCAGTAAAACACATTTTGTCTTCAATTATTTTCATATTGCATATTTTTCCTATTTTAATTTTTGTTTTGAAAGTATGGTAAAAACTGGTAAAATGTACCAACAATCTATTGTCTTATATTCGGGTCAATACGGTAATAAGAGGTCTTTTGATAAAATCCCAGAAGAATACATTTTCTCAACCAGATATTTATGATTTCACTAGCCAGGTTTGCATACATATTTTTATGCAGATTTTTATATTGAAACTCCAAGGTATGAATAGATCTGGCAACTTCAGGAATCAAATGAAATTCAAAAATGTGCATTCGTGTATATGTTGACTTGAAGTGTGTATATTTTTTATTTGGTAAGAAGATGCATGCATAAACTACAGTGGAAGCATGTCCAATTCCTAGATGCACATCAAAAAATAAAAATAAAAATATATATATGCTCAGAGATGAAAAGAAACCATGTTTCTCTGGTGAATCTGAAATGCTGGAGCCAAAGCCTGTCATCAAAATAATTGACAAATTTTATTAGTTTGTTTAAGTGTTTATTTATTTATTTTTATTACATTTGATTAAAGAGCAACAGTGGTTTCCCCATTGGCTGCAACTTCCATTTTGTTTCATGGCTGTTTGAGTTCATAGATCTGCACTGTTGTCTACGCATATGTTTATCTCTTGTTATATGGTTTAGCAAATTTATTTTGTTCGTTTTTAGATCACTAGATTCCTTTATGGGTAATGACCTTTTACATAACGTATATAATCATCTATCTTTCATTAGATGCTTCAAGCAATCAAGCTTTATAACATTCATGGATGCAAAGCTACTGCAGACATCCTTTTTTTTTGTATTATTATTATTATTATTATTATGCTGGTGGAGTATCTTAAGTTACAAAGATGACGAGTCAAAGCTGTTGTGATCTACACCAAGGCTACAGCATAGGTGTGACACAGAAGTGTAAATTGCCCTTAACCTGTTTATTGGTTTTTGTATTATTATTATTATTATTATTATTATTATTATGCTGGTGGAGTATCTTAAGTTACAAAGATGACGAGTCAAAGCTGTTGTGATCTACACCAAGGCTACAGCATAGGTGTGACACAGAAGTGTAAATTGCCCTTAACCTGTTTATTGGATTATACCACTGGAAAATACCACTTTTAGGTTTTAGTCATTTTTATTATTAAATATCTGGTCTCATTTCACTTCAGAAAGCTACAGAAGGAAAAGGAAACTTGTGTACAAATGTACAGTGCTTGAATATTTAGGTTTTAGTAATACAACATTATTTCTAAAAATGAAGCATTGATTATTTCTTGCAATGTAATTACAATTTGTGTTTTATTTAAGCATTATTTGGTTGTAAATGTAAAACTTTGTATTTGTATTTTTGAAGGGATCCTCAATCGTATCTGAACGCATCCCAACAGACTCACCGGAGTCACATCCAGGGTCACATATTGAATTGCTTGACCGGTATAATACGAATGTTTATCTTCACTTTAAATTAGGCTGCTTAAAAACATTTACAATTTTTTTTCTCTGCATGTGTGTTTTTGAGTGAGTAAGCAGAGTAAGCAGTGGTGTTTCTACTGCATGTTTAAGGTTGTTGGAGCTAACACCAGCTGGCACAGGCTCCAGAGAGACTACAGGCTTCTGCGTCCATATTCAAAAGCTCATATTGTTCAGAAAGCTAGTCTGTCACTGCCTCACTGTTCACTGCCTAAACGTCATTGTTCTCGTTCTCTCGCTCTGTGTGGAAAGGATTTTATTATCTACTCGTCTACTAGTTCAGCGGTTCTAACTACAAACTATTTTAAACACCATTTTTCTTGTTTGAAAAATAAACATGCGTTTTTTTTAATTGAATTTTTTTAATGAGATTACATTAACTGACAAATTGCATGGGAACTACATCAGAAACATTTGTGAGTTTAACTGGGGGAAAAATACTAAAAGATGATGGAACACTAAAAAAATGGTGGCCTAGTTACAGCACCTACAATATATATTTTCTCTTATAATTTTATGTACATTTTAATTGCAAATATTAATGTGAAAAAAGTTAATGTTCACATTTGTTAGTTGCCCTTGAGTTTAGTGTTTTTTTCCTATATAGAATCAACATATATAGAACCCAGATATTTGTAGAAGTTTTTCTGTTTAGATTTTATTCCTTTAAAATGTCTTAATTCCTGTAATCATATTGTATTTCATCTGATGTTCATTAGTCTAAACATGTATAAGTTTATAGCAATTGATTGTTCCAAGCTCAAATTTCCTAATTGCTGTTTAAGTGGAAAAACATGTCCAAATAGTAACTTTTATTTAAAATTTTAATTCTTCTGGAACAAATTATTGAGTCCAATTGACTTAATGTTTTAGTAGTTGTCTGTTAGTAGTAGTCCGTTGTATTTTTTTCCCCTTATTAGAACTGCAGTAGAAAGAGTTTTAAATAAGAGTATATTAATTCTCTCAGCTCAGATGACGTTTTACCATATTTAAATCCAGCACAGAATCAGTGCAGAAAGTGTGAATATGTTGTGTTTGTAATCACGAGTTAACACTGATTTACGTTTGACAAGCTGAAATATTTGTGAACATGCAAAAAAATTCAGTGAAAAAACTCATGTTATTTGTGATCTACACAACAAAACTTCTCTTCCAAACTTGATGTGCAATAGCTACTAGATAAAATTATCAAGGGCAAATATTAACTAGTCAGGTATGTACGATAGAACTCGAAGTTTGCTGTAGAAATGACTGAAATTGTACTTCCCAGAATACTTTGCATGGGACAAAATGTTGTTCCACAAAGCCGTTTGCACCGCCCTCTTTTGTCACTTAATATTATATTTTGGTGCGTCAATCTATTAAATTACTTAGTATATGAAACCATGATCCGCACTCACAAAAATAGTCTTCTTTTAACGTTTTATTTTGCATTAATCACCAGCAGGACAAAACACAAATGTTTCGGCTCAAGGCCTTTTTCAGTGCGTTGAATAAATCAATCCCTCTACCCACTTTTTATATCATTAATTATATTTACATCATCATTCATTAGCCAATATTGAGTCTATGAAAACACACATATTCCATTTAAATGCTTGACAATTTTTATTTATATACAGCACAAATTTTCACATCCATCAATACACTGCACAATACGTCCTTGGCCATAACATGAACCACAAAGGATGCCGTATTTTTAACAATTTCACAATTATACAGTTTATTAAATATTTTAATAATTAGACAATCACCAACATCTACTACCCGAATTAAAGATCAAAATACATAACAATGGAATGTAAAATGATTAAAGTCATCAGAAATACATCATCATAAATAATCATCGATTACTCTCCACAAAATATTAAAATGAATTCGACCGATTATAACTCATTAAAGGAAAACAGAACGATCTAATTCCTCATTCATGCCATTTGGAGCCAGTGATTTGAGTTTATAGATCCAAAATGCTTCTCGCTTTAATAGTTCTTTGTTCATATTACCTCCTCTACATGACCCTAAAACTTCCTCTATACTGATACATTCCAATTGTTTGATGTCATGTCCCAGCTCGTTGAAATGTCTAGCTTACTGGAGAAGTTATGTCTTGTCGGCTAATACTTGATGTATGTTCATTGATTCGTAATTTCAACTGACATGATTAATTTTCTATTTTTATTTATTATTATTTCACGTTTATTTGACAGAGATAATCCACATCAATAATATATAAATGTACAATGTTCCAGAATTAACCAGTCCTGGACTGATGGGAAAATTGGCACCCTAAACATATAAAAGAAATAATCTATACAAATTTCAATATATATGTTTTATATATTGGGACAAGGACATTTGAACATATAGATCACATTACGAGTTGAGCAGGTGTTGAGAGTAAAAATGTTGAAATTAAGTATTATTTTGTGTTTGAGCAAGATGATTAAAGAGGGAGAACTGTGTCAGTTACACAGGGTTACCATTGTGGTGCTTTTAAAGTAATATAAAAAAAAAGTGATGTGGCCAAGTGGAGTATGGTGTCCCATACTCGGAATTTGTACTCTGCGTTTAACCCATCCAAATGCACACACACACCTGCGACACCCAGGGAGCAATTGAAATTTCAGTGCCTTGCTCAAGGGCACCTCAGTGGTTGTTACTGAAGGTGGAAGAGAGCACTGTATATTCAGTCCCCTCACCTACAACTCCTGCTGATACTGAGACTCGAACCCGCAACCTTCAGGTTACAAGTACAACTCTCTAACCATTAGGCCACGACTGTTTTACATAATTTTACATAATCATTTACCATGTTAATATGTGCTATTGCTAACTAATTGTTCATTTGCAAGCAAAAACAATCTTTTAATTAACTGATATGACAAAAATATATAATACACTCTTGTCAGGGAAATCTAAATCACTTTGACACTGCTTAAGTCACTTAAAAATAACTTAATTCCATTATGTTAAAGTGATGCGAACAAATTATGTTTATGTAACTGATTCATGAGGAATCAGTGTACATGATTAAATCACTTTTTTTCTAGTGTTGTGCAGTGTGCAAAAATGTTAACTTTCAAATTATTTTCTTAAAGCAGCACTATGTAACTTTTGGCGCTCTAGAGCTTAATAAACAGAACTGCACACATCCCGCGGAAGAACATTTCATGTTAAAGCCCTGTTAGAAGCCAGAAATGATGAAGGAATAGAGGGTATGTTATGTATTACATAAATTTAACAACTGACAACAAACAATATTTCCTCACTTGGAAGAATAAGAATAGACCCAGAGGCGTACAATCGTCAGTCGCAGGTTCACATTTTTCTGTCATTTCGAATTTTCATAAAATAAATAAATTCCTTTAGGAATTCCTTTAGGCTGTTGGTCCAAGTTGCATAACAATTGGTATTCATCAATTTGAGACTGTCATGAGAAAAAGTTTTCAGAAATGTATCAAATTTGATATGAGCTAATAAAATGTTTAAGGGTCGGCCATTTCGACTAATTGCCCTATATCTGACAATTTGTTCACATCACTTTAACATAATGGAATGCAGTGGCGGGCCGTGCATTTTACACCTAGGCCTTCAGTGGCCTCCTACATGAATTAATCCATCTCTTCATACCATCATAATGATGCCACGGCTATAGAAACCATAAATATTACACAGTAATGCAGTATAACAGGGCACTACATAACAGACAGGTATCTTATGTAGCGAGAATGAATGCCATTACTAAAGAAAGAAACCCAATTTGAAGTTATTTTTAAGTGACTTAAGCAGTGTCAAAGTGATTTTGATCTCCCTGACAAGAGTGTATTATATATTTTTGTCACATCAGTTAATTAAAAGATTGTTTTTGCTAGCGAATGAACAATTAGCTAGCAATGGCACATATTAGCATGGTAAATGATATCTGACAAACACAAAGTCCAACCACAACAAAATTTGATACACAGGCAACAGGACTTAAAAAACAAAACAATAAAATAAGTAAAAAAATTGAAATGTTTTTAATTTTGCCCATAGGGGGCACAACTAAAGCTGTCATAACTCTGCAACAGTCTGTCTGATCAAGGAAAAATTCAATTCAATGTATATCTTCTAGCTTTAGAACTACTTTCACAGTTATCAAGCCATAAATATATTTACAGAAAGACATCAGAAACATTTCGCCCCCTTTTACGAAACCCTCGGCAGTTAGCTCTTACTGATGTTTTTTATTCTTACAGTTTAAAAAAACAGGATCCAGATTAAAATATTGAAGCAATGTCTCCGAGTCTAGTCTAGTGTGACCACCGCTAAAAAAATCGCTGATGTTTTTTATTCTTACAGTTTAAAAAAACAGGATCCAGATTAAAATATTGAAGCAATGTCTCTGAGTCTAGTCTAGTGTGACCACCGCTAAAAAAATCATTAGATTCTGAGCATACTGTATATAATTTGAGAAAACGCACTCCAATTAATTTCCATCCAAACGCTGTGCTGCCATGATAAATGAGAACACAACGCAGTTCACGGTTTAAAATACAGTGTAAGAAAGTGTTTTTATTATTTCTGTAGCCATGCATCATCTATCATAATCACAGAGTGAAAAAAATGCTAAGAATTAAAGAATGTTAATTAAAAAAAAAACATTAAGAACCACTGAAACAGAAACTCTCAAAAAAAATGAAAAATTGTTTTGAAGTCTGGATGTAATATGCATTTTTTCTGGCCAAAATATTTTGGCAGTCTAAATATATCAGCTGTAGCTTATTTTTGTAGTTTTTACAGTTGTTTATAGCACTAAGTGAGCATTCTGCTGTAAGGTTAGCGTGTAGAGAATGAGATGAGGAATAGCTGGTGAATGCTCAATGGCAGTCAAACAGATGAGGGACTGTCTTTGGGGCTTGTGGGCGCCCTCGGTTTCTCGTGAATGCTGC